AGGTAATTCTTTCAACGGCTTTTACTGTAAAGGGGGGAAGAGAAGGGGACGTGGGGCCCAGAGAGAATTTCATTATAGAGAAAAGAGCTGGCCCAGCGTGTGCCGCTGATTGGGGTGGGTGACCTGGAAGGGGAACTGGGCGGTGGGGAAGGGGTTCGCCGGAGCAAACCCCGGTGTAGGTGGCGGGGTTAAAGCGGATGCACCGTGGAGAGGTAGGCCCTCGGCCTAGGGGCGCACCGCAGTTCACCCACAATCCCAGGAGGCGACGCAAAGTCGAGCAGACAGCAAAGGGACAGGAGCCAGCACGGGTCCTCTTCTGAGCGTTGCCTTCCAGGGACTGGCTCAGGGGTCTTAGAGTTAGGTGGGTCTAGGGGTTGCCATGTCTTCCTGAGCTGTACTGTGCTTTTCATTTAAACAGAATTTGTGTTTATAAATCTGGTTCTCCCCTACAACTAGACCCCACCCACGATTGGTCCCTCGCTGTGAGTCTCCACGTCGCTCCCAGAGCTGACGATGTAGAACATCGGGGCATCCCAGGGTGCCGTGCGCATTTAGCACATTACTTTTCTCTGATGTTCCTTGCCTTTCCGCTTTTGGTTGGGTGCTGAGTTTCCCACTTTCCCTTATGAACTCCTCATAGGCACAGTCCTAAATTTTTAGCTTTTCTAAGCATGTCACGTGCTTATCTGGCTTTAGAATATGTGGTCTCTGGGTGTTTACAAAACTGTTCTTTCTAACTAGCATGCGAACAAGTCATTTGTGTTTAGTTGCGGGAATTATATAGCAAGTAAGTGGCAAAGCTGGGATTTTCAAATCTGCCCCAACTAGTGTGTTACTTACACACCCTCTTATGTAAGTCAAACAAAGGGTTCAGTCCTGGGAAGTTTGCAGAGAAGGGCTGTTTTTGTATGCTCCCTGCCCATGCCTTCAGTTGGGATTTGGGGAGTCACGGCAAGGCCAAAAGTTGTTCAGATAAATAGTAATGTGTGTTGACTTTCTTAAGCAATCTAAGCCAAGCATTTGAGAATTTTCTAAAAACTAAAGGTCAGCATAAAGCTCTAGCGCTAGGAAGCCCTGGCTTTACTGTGTCCACCTCTGGGGCAGACTTGCCTCTTATCCCAAATTGGCTGCTCTCTTGAAGCCAATTTGCTGGAGTTCTCCAACAATCCTAGGAAGCAGTAAATTTTGCTGGTGGTTAGCACCTTAACCAAGAAGTGGGAACACTGTGTAGCATATAACATTAGAAATAGAAGAAAAAATGATTGGCTATTTGATTTGATGTTTAAGCATTTGCTTTAAAAGGAGCCTATTCAATAGTAACTCGGGTGTGTCCAGATATTTAGTCACATTGACTCAGCATAACTTCTCCCTTGACAAATCTCAGGCCAGAGCAATCAATTTGTTGCTGCAATAGAATCTGATGGTAGGCTTTTCTCCTTACAGAACCCTACAGAAAGAGGAAATAGTTGCAACAAAGTCGAAAGGTGTGGGGGAGGTACCGAGACTCTCTTGAAGAGAGCCATTGTGTAAAGTGCCACCTATAAAATTTCTACAGGTGCTATTTGTTCTGCGAAACTAGTCACTGAAAGTCAATTTCAATTTATCTTTCCATTTAAAGTCAACTAAACATTTCTAATATAGAGCTAGCTATACTCAATTTCACTGGGAGGATATGTCCGTGAGTGTGCGTGATTATGGCCTGCTAATCTGATTAGGAAAGAGCTCTGGGCTCAGCCCTAAGTAGACCTGGGTTAAAGTTCAGTTCTTTCTCACACTGGCTGAGAAAATCAGCTTCCCTGAGCTGAGTTTCTTTGTCACGTTAGGTGAGAGTGATAATGGCGTCTTAGAATCATATAGCAATTTGAGGTTTATGAAGAACTCTCCTAGACATTAGCTCATTTTAACACGGGAAAGGAGGCAGGACAGACAGGAAGTGGAAACCCTGCAGCAGGCAAGGAGCCTGTAGACTAAGCCCCTGGAGAACAGCAGGGCCTTGGGGAGGTTCCAGTCCCTTTGTCCTTTCTGAAGCTTCTCTCAGCATTTTCTGCTTCTGGATCTCTCATTCTCTACAAG